TATAATTATAAAATTTTTAATTATAAATAAATATTAGTTTTAAAAAAATTTAATTTAACAATTATTAATTTTTATTTTAGTTATTCAAAAATTAATTTTTTTTCATAAAATAGTAAAGTTAATTTATAATATTAAAATAATTTAATATTATCTTTTTTTTATTATTATTAATATTAAATAAATACAAAAAAATAAAAATATAATCATATAAAAAAAGAATTAGAAATAAAAGTTTTATTAAAAAAACAAATACTTTAACTATAATTTTATTTAAATTAAATTAGATCAAAATTAACTTAATTTAATTAAATTAAATTTGAATTTGAAAATTATAAAATAGCTTTTTATTAATAATTTTTATTTTTACTAAAATACTTGTATTTTATATTTTAAGTAAAATTATTTAAAATAGTAAATAAAAAATAATAAATTTTAATTTTATTTAAAATATTTTAAATCAGATTTGATATTAACTTAATCTAATATAAAATATAAAACTTTTTATATTGATCACTTTTGTATAATAATTTTTTATTTCATTTTTAATATAATTATTTTTTTATTATTATTGCTTAAATTATTAAATTTAATAAACAAATTTATTTGTTAAACTTTTATATATTTATATTTAATATATTTTTACTATATATTAAAATATTTTAAAAAAAGTTTGTTTAATATTTGCTTTAATTATATATTATATAATAGTTATTTTTACTTTTTAATAAAATTTAAAAATATTTTATAATAAAATTACAGAATTGATTATAAAATAAATAAATATTTTGAGTAATTATAAATAAAAATTATAAATTCTATATTATATTAATTAAAAATATATTATATTTTTATTTTAGTTTAGAAAAATAAGAGAAACTTATAAAAATTAGACATAAATATATAAAAATAAGCTAAAAAAATTTTAGTAATCAAATTTGTCTATTGAATAATTTAAGAAATATAATAATTACTAATAATTGGTTATATTTTTTTTGCTTTTTTTAAACTTAAATTATATTTTTTATTTTATATTTTTTTAATAGAAATTTATTTTAAAATATATATTTATTTGTAATTTGATTTTTAAATTTAATTTTTTTTAGCTAATTGATTAAAAAATATTTTTAATTATAATATTATTTAATAAAATAATTATTAAATATTATTTTCTGATTAAATAACATTTTTTAACTTAATATTATTTAATGGAGCCAAAAGCCAACTAATTATCTAATTTAATAATATTAAATCAAAAAGTACAAAATAGATCAAAATTATTTCTAAAAATTTTGTTTATAAATTTAAAATTTGATTTATTTTAATAATATCTTTATATTTAATTATAAATTATTAAAATTATATTAATTATAATCAAAATTATATATAAATATTTTTAAAATATATTTAATAATTATATAAATATTACAATTATTTTTTAAATAATTTAGTAAAAAAAATAATTAAATTAATAAAAGAATTATTAAAACTTAAAACAAAATAAAAATATAAAGATATAAAAAGTAAATAATTTAATTATTATTTTTTATTAATAATATAATTTGCTAATATTTATTAATTATCTAATATTATTTATTTTTAATAATAATAATATTAATATATTTATTTTTTTATAGATTATTATTTTATTTTATAAATATATATTTATATTTGTTATAGAATTATAAAAATATATATAGAATTTTATTAATAAAATATAAAAATTAAAATTTTTGTTTTATAATTTTATTAATAAATAATTTTATTTTTATACTAAATCAAAATTATAAGTTATATTTTAATATATATTTTCTGAATTTTTTATGTTATTGCAAAAATTTTTTAATGAAAATGTAAAATTATTTATAAAAAATTTTTGCAATAATTTTGCAATTATAATAACTTTATCAAAAGTTTAAAAAAATATATATTAAAATATAACTTATAATTTTTGTTTTAATATAAAAATATAAAATGTTTATTAATAAAACTGAAAACTTTTTATATTTGACAAACTTTCAATTTTAACTATAATTTATTAAAAATTATATATAAGATTTTATTAGCTATTATATATATTTTATATTTATTAATAAAGAAAAAAATATGCTTAAATATATTTAAGTTTAAAATATTTATTCAAAAATAAATTAGAAAATTTAATAAAATATATTAAAAAAGCAGAATAAAATATAAAATATTTTAGTATATTTTATATTAATTAATAAAGAAAAAATTATCTGAATTTAAAAATAAAAATTTCTAATTTTTTCAGAAATAAATTAAAAATATATTAATTAATAAATTAAAATTATAAAAATAATATTTTAATAAAAATAAATTTATAAATCTATTATATTTTAATAGTAAATTTTGAAAGTAATATATTTTTGTAAATTATTATATTTAATAAATTATTTTTTAGTTATAAATTATAACTTAATAATATTTATATATTATTAAAAATCCAAATATATAAATATAAATATAATATTTTAAAGTTTTTAGATTCATTTAAAGAATATTTTTGCTTGCAAAGTAATCCTTACAATAAATTTATCAATTTTATTTTAATGAATTTATAATTATTTTGCAAGCAAAAATATTCTTCAAATTAAATCTAAAAAATCTAAGAAATTATAAGTTAATAATAAAATTTTGATTTTTAGTAATTTATTATAAAGTTACATATAATCTATATTGTACTATAATTATGAATTAAACTAATATAAAATAAATTAATTCTAAGCTAAAATATAAAACTTAAGAATAATTAAAGAAAAGTTTTTGTTATTTATTAAAAGTTAATTAAATATTATTTGAAAAATACTCTTTAAATACATATTTTAGAAAAACAATTTAATATTATATATTAGCTTTAAAATTAAAAAATAATTGAATTAGTTCTTAATAAGTCAAGAGAAAAAATGTAATTATTTTAAAAAATTTGTTATATACTCTTATAAAGGGATTTAAGAGTGATGTCTTAAAGATATTAATTAAATCACATTGTTGCTAAATCGAGATTTGATTTTTGAAAATTAGACAACTGAGAATTGTCTAAAAATTATATTTCAAAAGTAAATATAATAAAATTGAACTATCATTTTTCGAAATTATAAAAATAACTTTGTAAACTTATAAATGATCATAGAAGTATAAATAAAATTAAGTTTATGAAAATAAAGGGTTTGAGAGTAAATAAGAAATCATAAAAGAAATTATGAATTTCTAAAAATATAACAATACAGTAAGACAGCAATATTATAAGTTTGATAAATCATTCAATAACTATTTGTTTATTTTAATCGCAAAATAATAAAAACAGTATTGATTTATATTTGAGGACAAACCAGTAAGAATGAAATTTATTATTCTAAATAGTTTCACATGTGAATGACTTGAATGACTGTAACAATATTATTGATTTTCAAATTGAATGTAATTATAGTTGCCATCGAAAATTAAAACTCCAAGAATTAAGGTTACAGCAAATTCCTTTTTTGCTGAAATTGGTTGCCGTTTCCTTAATAATTAGGACACTTCTTAATTTCTTAATACACTAAAACTCGATATAACGTTCCATTAATAAAAATCGGTATACGAGATTCAAGTATAGTGAGAATGATTTATCATATCGAAATTTTATTTATTGTCTGTTATATCGAGAGTCTGTTATTTTTACAAATTGTTATGGTATAATATCTCTCCCTTTTTCATTAGGAATATTAATATTCTTTATTGAATTCAGAGATTTTTTATCGTCTTTGATGAAGAATTTGTTTCACGAGTCCGTATTTTATTGCAATGTATGATATTGCATTATTATGACTGTCTCTCAAGGAATATGTTCTCATACTGAATCTTCAGGGTATCCACGTTTTTTGTTAAGTTGAGCTAGTATCAATGCTGGAATTGTACTTTACTGTCATTTAATTAAAAAACAATATCGATATATAATTGCTATTTTAAATAAGCAATAATTACATCATAGCGATATTGATAAATCACAATAATCAATTATCGTTATCGTTTGTATTACGGATCAAGTTAATAATTAGAATTTGTTTATTAGTACAAGGATTCCTAAAAAAAATTAATGATTAAAATCACACGTTTCCGAAATCTTCAATACTTTCCGAAAGATAAATCTAATAAAGAACTTGTGGCGAATACGGTAACAACTATTATAACGATAATGCGAAAGGGTTACAATTGTTACAATTGGCGTTCAATTTGCAAATCGCCGATCTTATGCAGGACAAAGTGTGAAAGATATGTTCTATATAATGCATGTATATATGGATAATTAGTTGGACTGGAACTGGGTATAATTGTCTTGAGTCGGGATCCCTTTTTTCTGATTCTATAATCTCTAGTATATATGTATACATATAAATATTTTAAATTGACGGCATTTAGAAATTACACGATTTCGCCAATAGTCTGCGAATTTTACCCCCTTATTTATCTGGATAGTATGAAATAAAAACAAATGAGCTAATATCGATAACGATCTTGTGATTTCTTTATTTATCTAATACCTTTAAAACATGTCATTTTTTCGGAATTGGATTGGTCGATTAATAATTAAATAATGTATCATGTCACTTCTAATTCAGGAAAACGAGAGCAAATATGTGTCATTTCAGCTAAAAAAAAACAAATTATCGTTATCCCACTACATAATCTAAGATTTAATACCACGTGGTCTCATAAATGATCTAAAGAATATTGTTTCTTGCGCCATCATAAACTGGTTTGTTTGTCTGATCAGCAACAACATTAATTTTTGTATAAATTCCGAATGGTTTTTATTTCTTTTCTTTTTCCGTTTTTTCGTCACCAGTTTGCGAACCTATTTAACAATACGAATTTTCTAATCGAATTGATGAATCATCACTATTAGGGTTGTCCTAAAATTCCTAATTCATTCGTTCAAACATTATTAATTATAAGATATGCAAAACAATAATAAAAATTTTTCCGCTTTCCGACCCTCAATGACAATACAAGCGAGTCAAACCGACGACACACTAATGATCAACTATTCGGATCAAAACACCACAGCACAACAAACAACAACAAACAAATTACCAACACACGAGACTCCGCCAGTCTCACCGGGAGGAATTTCTGGAAGTTCGGTATTTAAATTGTCAATTTCACAACAAGAAATATCAATGGCGGAATTTTCTTTTCAAGAGCCGAAACTTAAATCAAATTTCTGGTTACCACCAACTCCACCCAATGGAACGCATCAAGACACAAATTCTGAAAAATTACACTCCAATCCATCATCATCTGTGGTCGCATTTTCTAACAGTCAATCTTCTGAGGTTTACTCACCTGAACATAATTTCTCTGTTGTTTCATCGAATATTAGTGCAAAACCAATCATGTATCATCACACATCAGTTATTCCAACAATGCCACCACGTCATCACTATGATCAATTAATTCCCACTGATGGACATCTTTCGTTAGCTGAAAAACGAGAGTTGGCGCGTAAAATTGCACATTCAGCTATTGAGAGACGTCGTCGCGAAAGAATAAACGATAAAATAGTAAAACTTCAACAATTGGTTCCAAGTTGTGCAGATCAACCTCAAATCCATAAGTTGACTATCCTTCAAAGTGCAATTGATTATATCGGTTATTTACAAGGTTTACTCGCGGAAAAGCGAAAACGTGAAAATAACAGCAATAACAACAATAAAGAAACTAGCATTTTGGATGAAAGGAGATTTGCAAAGAGGGCAAAATTGGATACTTATGATAATGACGAGTGTGATAATATTAGAAGTAATGACTTTAACAACGACGACGACATCATTAATTACAATTATAAGAATAATGATAATAATGATTTATCACATTCACCATCTATGGCTTCCATTAACTTTGAACGAAATCCTCAATGCCTATGTAAGGTGTCATGCGCATTACATCCGAAAAATAGTACCTTGCCAGAATCTCGATCGACATTACAATCTTCTCATTATCATCAAAATTTTAATTCATTGTTTCATCACGTTGAAACAATGAATTCATCTGCTCCGCATCGAACAACCGACGCTAACACCGCTCAATTTCAGCAAATATCGGATATGAATAATACATCGAGCTCTGGAATTTCATCGTCAACACTACCTCCGTTAATAATACCTTCAATTAATAAGAAAATGTCAATTTCGAGCACTTCACCGACAAAAGATTCTTCGATATTAGTGGATAAAAGTAACATAATGTCACTAAAGAACTTGTTGTGTTAAATTCGAAGACTCATAAAATTCTTTTCTAATCATAGAAAAATGTATAGATTTTTAAATAAAAAAAACAACTAAGAGAATAAGAGATAATATAATACTCACATAAAAATGGATATAAACATTTACCATCAAAAATTTGTAATATAAAATCCCCATTTCATAGAAATATGGTGTGTATTTGTTTTAAAAATTCATCATATGGATTGTTCTCATTAGCGTTAGTTCGCTGCTAAAGAATAAATTATTACCCGAGATCAGCTTCATGCTCGATATAGAGTTTTTTGTTTTTATGGCACCCGTGATGTTAGTTTTTAAATATTTTTCATTTGAACAAAAAATGCTAAAAATCAAATCAAGTGCATAGAATCTGACACAATTGATGATAAAAGATTGCTTTAACAATTTGATTTCTTGATGCGTTTGATGTGATTTATTTTTCCTAAAACATGCGTCTTCCAAAGATAACTATAAAAATGAGACAACGATTCGTTACCGGCTTCATTGAATAATTAAAATATCCAAATTATCAATTAAATATAACAACTTTGCATAATGGCAAAAATAAATTTATCCTTTATAAAATCTGTGACTGCAATCTTGTGCTTTTTGTGCGTGTCTGTCATATTTCTTTCCGAACTTGTTTATTCTACTGAAACCAAGAGATGTGTGCATGATGGAACTACGATCCCTTTGCCTTATTCTTATCCGCCTCCACCTCCCACTTACTGTTGTTGTTATCCTGAGCCAAAGCCTCGTCCAAAACCTGAGGAAGACATCATTATTGTCAATCAAGAACCGTGCTCTCAACCACCACCACCACCACCGAGAGGAAAGACAAACGTTCCACAACCCATATCAGCTGAAGCGAAAAGCAGTGCAAAAGTCAATATCGGAAAAATTGTAGCAGCCAAACGAATGTCAGTTAAAAGACAATTCTGTGGTTGTCCTCATAGACCAGAAGAAAACATAGTTGTCATCAATCAACCCTCACGACGACCACACAGACCCAAAGCAAAAAGACGAAGAGGAAAAGGAAAAGGAAAAGGAAACGTTCAGCAACCTATTTCTGCTGAAGCTAAAAGTAGTGCGAAAATTGACACGGGCAAAGCAGCCAAGCGTCTACCTAAACGTGCAGTTGAAGAAAAACGTCATTTCTGTGGCTATCCAACCCCTGAACCTGAAGAAAACGTAATTATCGTCACTCAACCACCATGTCCTGGCCCGTCACGACCACATCCCAAAGCAAAGGCGAAAGCTCAACAACCTATCTCGGCTGAAGCAAAAAGTAGTGCTAAAGTACGTGTTTAAATGTCATTAATTTTTTGATAATGTTTGCATACTGTTTACAATTTCTTACTCTCTTTAGGTTAATATCGGAAAGGCTAAAGGCAAAAAACGAAACTCTCAAGAAACTGACGCTGAAAACGAATTTTAGATAGTATTAAATATACTGTTAAAATAGTAATCAACATATTTATGTAAAAATAGCTTAACTATAAAATGAATCTCATGAAGTTAGAAATATGCATACTATTATAAAACTTTTTACTCTTATAATTCATTTCAAACAATATTTCGACAGAAAATTAAATAGATATTTTACTCTCTTAAAAGATCGCTGATTCCGGTCAAATTAGAATCATCCATCGGGCGGCAAATATCTTTCTCGTATAATAATTTAAGATTTCGTCGATATATCTTATTAGTTCTTCATTACCAACTCGAAAATGTGACCAATCACGTATAAATCGTAGGTAGTCTTTTTTCGAAGCGAAGAAGTGTTTTTGTATCTAGAGATCAAAGCCTTAATTAGAATTCATATCGATAATGTTTTACTTCTGCTTTAAGATTCATTCTAACAAAGTACATGTATGTACATGTATTTTGATGCATCACTGGTTTGTTATAAAATATTAAAACGTCGCGTGATTAATAATTATAATTTTAATCGACGTTTAAAGCACTTTACCAAAAGTTCAAGTATTGCACATATATATAATTGATTTCGGAGATACAAAGATTAAGTCGTCTGTAAAATTTTTGGTTAAAGTCAAAAAGCTTAACCTGAATGTATGAATCATATTCACATATATGCAAAGAAAGCATTCTTATGATTAATACAAGAGATTAAGATTTTAGATGATTGATTTAAATTTCCCAATAAGTGCATTACAAAAAAGAGATATAAAAATCAGCTTCTTCAAGCTAAATAAGAAACAACAAACACTCGATATTACAATAATATCAAACCATTTTTTTTACAAACAATAAATTTTTCTTCTTGAATCAATACAACTGAAATGTTACAGATAAATAACTTATCCTTTGTCTATATCGTTCTCACTTTTATTCTCATCGGGATTATTCTGACAGATGCTGCCTCTCAGGACAACCCAGACTTAAACCATTCTGCAGTGGTTCGTCGTCACGTTGATCGAAAGAAAAAACACGGTTGGGATTACGACGGTAGTTATTATAATGGCTATTATAATGGTTATGATGATTATGATTATCCACGTAGACACCATAGACATCATCGCCACCATCATCATGGATATTAAACGAACGCTAAATATTCTAGATAATTTGAATTATATATACCTTACTATGTATTTTTGAATCTCTTTATTTCGCTATAAATATAATACTTTGTGAATATACCAATGGAAATAGCGAAAATATAATAATTTGTAAAATAAAATTTCTCGCCCTTGAGTCGAAAACAAGAAAATTAGAGAAGAAATTTTTCTAGAAAATAATTGATATCATACATATCTAACCACAACCTTATTGTTGATAAAGTAATATATAAGTAACAAATGAAGTTAAAATCTGTGGCCGACATTTAAAACGTGATATTTACCTACTCACGGATGCGAAAAGTATATACCTAAGATGCTCAGAACTATCTATGCCTCGACGACCTCGTGTCTCGGTTGGCCAAGCGCCCGCTCAAAAGCAAAATTCCATGCGGCATGCCCAAGCATGTATGTGCCGCGACGTCCGCAATCTCGTGAATGTGTGTCACAAGAAGGCTGTCCTCACATTTTTTTAAATTCAACAGCGAGGAATGGGAAGACAAAGCATCCAGCAGATCGACAATTGAACAGTACCGTATTTACGGTTTAAAGTTCTCAGGGTACTTTATATGAAGGTTACACATATAATGAGTATTAATCAATATATAAGCCGCTTTTAAAAAGTAAGGAGGGTACTATACATGAGGTACTTTAAACCATATGGTATGCAAATTGATGACTTGGTCATATTACGTACAGAATATGCAGGTTGCACACAGTTTATAACTTCCACAAATGGCACATTAAATTATGCAATTGTCGATTAATACCGGAGTTAGTTAGCTAATTCATCTAATATAAAAAGTAAATTTTTTATACCGTAATAAAGAGCACATACACCGTATATGACCGAACATAAGCAACTCCAGAATATAAGCACCCCTCCAATTTTGGGGATTAAATCGATACAACTTCTAAATCCTTTTGTATTCGAATATAAGTAACCACTCCATTTTTGCAGGGTGAACCCCAAATCTATTGGTCGGTCATATACGGTAAATTACGTATGCAGTTAGAAGCTGCAATATGAATTAGCCCAAAAAATAACTCCAAATTCCTAGCATAAATAATGATGCACAAGTATTCGCCAATGCACAGTATGTATACTCATTTATTGACCGTATTCTATTATTCTATACTGTGGTAATCTATTCAATAAATATAATTAGTCAGAAATCATAAAATTAATTTCATTGAATATAAAATTTAATGACTTGTAGAATCAAATTTGACGATTGCTTCAAAAACAAAAAGATTACAAAGAGACAAGAGATGGAATCAATTTAATTATTCTATACTAAACTTTAAATGCATTGAACTTTTATTTCTTGATTAATAAATTTAAAATTATTTCTTTTCTGGCATACAAGTTAATGCTTTTAATAAAATTCTTGCATAATTCAATATAGTAATTTCTATATTGCTTTTAAAACAGCACATGGCTCAAAGAAAGGATTATCTAATGCATATTTCTCGCACATGAAAGATCATCATGCTTTTTATTTTACAAGGATGCTTGCCAAGGTTTTTTAATTTTCTCGAATTTGATTTAACACTAACGCTAAATTGGTTTAGAAAATGTATATGTATGTACGCAATGCAGGGAACAATAGTTGTACATGTAACAAAAGTATTAGTATTTTAATAAAAAAAGAAATTACGTGTTCATAAGTATAGTCGAATAATCGAATGGTTAAACTCGGATCTTTTAGATAAAAGAAACAAGGAGAAGATATGTCTCATCCTAAAACGAACTTTTTCCTTATTATTTTTTTTAATTTAGACAAGAAAACTGCTTTTGATTTTATTCATATCTTTTTTTGTTCGTCTATGAATCATTGACGTTGCAAATTCAATTCACTGTAATTCTATAAAATACAGCCAAAGGATTCTCCCAACGAAAAAAAAAACAATTTTAAACTTTTGTTGACGATACGTACATTAATTTCTCAAATATCTCATTCTCAATCTATTCATAAATCAACTCGCTTGTTTCTTTAAAAATAAAAAATAACATCAACGACATGCCTTTAGAAGGACAAAAAATCGCAAATCCTGGTCCACTTGGTATTTATGTTTTGAGCTTTGATCCTAAAATTTAATTTATAACTAAAACTAAATTATAATATTTTGATATGCCGTTATAAAAAAAGGCCTCAGTGCTTTCGCACTTACAACATTCGTCTTGTCACTTTATAATGTGAACGCTGGAGGTGTGACACATCCAAATATAGTTGTTGGTCTTGCTCTTTTCTACGGTGGTCTCGTGCAACTGTTAGCAGGAATGTGGGAATTCAAAACTGGCAATACTTTTGGTGCTACCGCTTTCTCTTCATATGGTGGCTTCTGGCTATCTTACGCTGCTATTCTTATACCGGGTTTCAATGCTGTTGGTTCTTTCAGCGGTGATAAAACACAATTAGAAAACGCGCTCGGGATCTATCTTCTCGGCTGGACAATTTTTACTTTTCTATTATTCTTGGCAACTTTCCGCTTAAACGGCGGATTAGTCGCTTTATTCTTTTGTTTAACAACTACTTTTCTTTTGCTGGCTCTTGCTAAATTTGCCGAAAGTGAAAATGTGGAAAAAGCTGGTGGAGTCTTTGGTATAATTACAGCGTTCATTGCTTGGTATGTCGCTTTATCAGGTCTATTGACCCAGGACACTGCATACTTCACACTGCCACTATATGATTTGGGTAGAAAAGCAAAATAATACATCGACTTTTTATTTTCCATTGATTCATTCGCAATTTCACATGAAATTTTATTAATAATTAATTTCGGAAGAATAGTTTTTCATATACAATAAATTTACTAGCTGAGCTAGACTATAAACCATCAGATGCGAATATGTAATGAGACACACGACGTTCTGAGTTTTTTATAATTCACAAAATTATGTTACGCGTTACGAAATAAATATCTCGTCAGATCTATTCCTGAATCATTGTTTTTATCATCGGTGTGTTAAGACTTGACTGTAAATATTATTTACGATGAGAACAATAAATACTTTATATAAATAAGAGAAATATTAATTTCTCAGTTTAGTGAATATCAGACTCGCTTCCAATGTCTTAATTGCTAAGTACGTACCTTTTTGACTTTCATTCTTTTATCAATGACATGCCAATAACAGAGTTGAATATTGACTGTCCATGACCACTGGCTGATATTTGTCCTGTATCCTTGTTCATTAGAACAAATTCTGGTTTGTAGTTTCTCTTGTCAAAGATTGATACAGTTCTCGTCAGAAGTAACCTACCCACCATAACTTTCCGTAGATTATGTGTAATGTACCAAAATTTTCCGAGCACAAAGAACATTACAAATGCTGATCGTTGATACCTTTTATAGACTATATCGGGCACATGTATAATCGGTTATTTCATAACACGCATCTCAACATTCGAACAAAAAAAATACCATTCGATTCGTTTTGACTAGATAAATCGAATGGTATATATATATATATATTATTTTTGTTCGAATTGGATCACTGGAGATCAAGATATTACATCCTAAATTGATCAATTCATTTTTTTGGCAACTCAGTTTCTAATGAAAAATTGATCGACAAATATCTAGTGATCCAATTTGAGTGAAAATACTACCGCTACCATCCGATTTTTCTAATCAAGAAAAATCAAATGGTGGTATTTTTGCTCAAATTGGATCACTAAACGTCGAGATATTATGTCCTAAAATGACCGATTCATTGTATTTATGACATGAAAGTTTATAAACGTACAATACGCAATATAGAAGCTCTACCAATCTATCAATGATCAGCATATGTAATGTTCTTTGTGCTCGGAAAATTTTGGTACATTACACATAATCTACGAAAGTTATGGTGGGTAGGTTACTTTGACGAGCACTGTAAAAAAATTTGCAATACTACGACCTGTGTTTTTATAAACATGTTGAGCTTTTTCATTATTATTAAATGTGGAAAGATATAGATATATAATTGGTATACCATACCCACTGCAGTTTACATTCATCATAAAGAGTGCAAATTATTTTTGATTTGTCTTAAACGTGGAGTCTATAACGATAATGATTTCAGTCACATTTTTGAGATTGATGTGTTTGAGCAGTGGTGTCAGAAATTTCAAGTTCTGCACAAAGTCATTCTCCAGATAACAAAGAACTTTAAATCCTTATACATGAATTCAAACTGTTCAAAATACAATTTTGCTAAAAGCTAATTTTCTAATTCATCATATACAGATATGTCTGTTCTATTGTGTGGATTGTTGGATTAATGAGTTCACCTTTGCGAAGTTGGTGATAAATTTCTGTGCTTTCAAATTGAGTGCAATGTTGTTTTGAATCCATTCTTTTGCTTATATAGTGCTCCAATCCGTGACCCGACCCGAAATATTCGGGTCAGCCTAAAAACGTTATTTATCGTTCAATATTAATTTAAATTAAACAAAAAGTTGTGGATATATACACAATTACATTAGAATAACTCTACTTAAGACTCAAAATACAAGTGTTTTAGTAAAAATAAAGGTGATTAACGAAAACCTATTTTACGATTTTCGGGTTGCGACCCGACCCAACCCGAACAGAGCTTTACTTTTGCCTTTATGTGAAAACTCAAACTGCTGATATGTTGGCTTTTCATGTGCTACTTGGCGATCCTCTTTGACAAGAACATATACAATCAAACATATCTATATTCACTCTCTTTATAGTCATGTCATGTTATATAAAAATCCATTATACTAATAATAAAAGCATCTTGCTATAAGCAAAACCCTGTTATAATCACATTCATGAAAAAAAGTACTAGCCAGTGACTTTCTTTATAGTGTACCCCCGTTATAGTGGATAATATTCAAAACTGCCTCTAATAAACTCCACTCGATATAGTAGATTTATTAATAAATTTTCAAAAACTCTCGATATAGTGGAGAATTTTTTGTTAGAACATGTAGCTTTTTTTGATACACTATAAAGAGATTTACTGTGTATTGGCCCAACAGTGTAACTATAGATGGGATTGACTGTATTGTTGTTATAGAATTATGGTGAGCTTGATGCTCTTTGCACAGGTATATCTTTTTATAGGAGCATGAGCTTTACTCTGTCTTTTAGATGATTAATTATCTGATCTTTGTCATCCTGCCTTGTACAGCCAAACTATATTGTGGTAGAATCTGAGAACATCTTCTTTCTGTTGTTTATATATACTTACAGATTTCCCAATAATAACCAGAGCCAGATTCAAGTGATACAATAAGTATATTGGCAAGCTGACAAAATTTCTTTTCGATTATCTTCAAATCGAGTGTATGTTGTGCGAACTCAGAGAAATCGCAACAAGAAGATCTTGATCCAATTCAATCTCGAAAGAAAATTTTGCAGGTTCGTTGGATGTTTCTGCTTCGAATTGCTTGGCAACAATTTCACACACTTCATCCAAATCATATTAGCATTTTCATTTGGTGTTAGATCTGAAAGTTCGTTGTCTTTTTCAGAAAATGACTCAAAATCCGCAAATATCATGAATAATTTTTATTGTATGTTATTTATTAGTTAGAACCTGATTTAACAATAATTGTAATAAAATTTTGGTGCATCGCTAAAGAAATTCATATATGGTGATTGACAGTTTACATAGTGACTTGAAAAAAATATATTAGTAAAAAATCCATTCTATCGAGTTTATTAGTAGATTTATCATTATTATATCACTAATTTACTTTTTATTTCTATTGTGTAAATGATATTAGAGGTTGGAACCGGTTATATTTTTACAAACCGATTTTAATAACAGCTTGAAAATTGCAACCGGTTATAAATCGGTTATATATTAAAACCGGTTTTAAACAATAAACTGGTTATATTAATTCGGTTTCAACCGATTAATCAGTTATATTAATTCGGTTTCAACCGATTAATCGGTTATATTAATTCGGTTTCAACCGATTAATCGGTTATATTATTTTCTCCGCATTTTTTCGAAATACAAAATCCATACTAATTATCGTTTACAACCGGTTACATGTATATTAAAACCGATTAATCGTTTACAACCAGTTATAATAAAACCGATTAATCGTTTTGAAAAATTTTCAAACCGGTTATAAATTAAAATCGATTAAACCCCGGTTATAAATTAAAATCGATTAAACCCCGGTTATAAATTAAAATCGATTAAACCCCGGTTATAAATCCGATTCCGATAACCGGTTCTAACCTCTAAACAATATCACAACGAATCTATTCGGTGGCGGATCAGGCACCAATAATTCGGTTGATTCGGATTCACGTGATCCGGATATCATGTCTAGGAGCTTAGCGGGCTTTCTTTGTGATTGGCTAATTTTTGTAGATCATTTTTAAATTCTATTGGTTGATAAAATAACACTTTCTTAGGGATTATTAATAAAGGATAGATAAGCATGATAAAAGATTATAATAATATATAGTATGATTTTTTTAGCATTAACAATTACATGTACGTAGTTTGTTAGTGTTTTCTGCATAATGCTTTGCCAACTAAATTTAAATGTTTGTTAATATCTGGTATAGTCACTTTATTAGATGTTACAGAAACGCCATTCTTTTCATAATCGCAAAGTCATCTTCTCCCTCCAGGTCACAGTACCCTTCTTTTACCTTTTTCTCACTCCGTACAGGCAACATCTATAAAATAAAACAGTAAATTAATATACTTGTCAAAATTCTAATTCTGAAGTACCTCTATAGCTAACTTCCGAATTATTTCACCTTTAAAGTTAGATGATCATATTTTTTATAGGAAACTATGCGAAGATCAACCAATCAGATTTAAGCCCGCTATGTTTGGCTTATTTTTGGATCTTAGCCTCTGAAACTGCCTAACAAAAATTTTCCTCGCGAATTTTACTATGTGCATTGCCAAATAACTCTAACCCCTAACGCGAAACTTTTCACATCATTAACGTCATCAAAATATTATCATGTGATCGGAAAAATCACACCTACATGTAATTTTAAGCGGGAAGCCTACGGAGTGCTTAATCACGTAAACTTTTCCGGGCCAGTGCGGCGGGTCACGGGTAAATGCATTAATCAGGTGATATCACCTGATAGTGCATTCACGTTCAACAATGGCGGCACTATAATAATGACTTAGATACGTCAAAAGTTAATTAATAAAGAATTAATATATAAGCGAGTAGGGGAAGGAAATGTAAGAAAGTAATTAGTATTTGGGCACCAAAACAAGTCTTATAATAAATCAATCTTCATTCTCTATTATACATCAATCGATTATTATGAATTGCATTAATAATTAATACATCGGTTATAAATTTGCATCAATATAAATTTTTCGGCCCGGAAAAAATTACGTGATTAAGCACTGTCCGTAGGCTTCCCGATTTTAAAGAAGTTCAAACTCATGCATTATGCTTGATTCAATATACATGTATTAGAAACAATAAAGAATTTATTATTGTTATTACCGTTACCAAACTCAGGTATCAAAGATAATTTCAAAGTTTCAAAAATTGAAGATCGCTCGTATCCTGTGAACAAAAGCAACCAAATCAGTGTACATGCATGTATTGTTCTCCATTGTGTGCTTCTTCCATTTAAAAACAGCATCTCTTGGCAGAGATATCAAACTTCTTCCTCTTTTCATATTTTATCGTATTGTTATTTCGTAGATTTTTCAAAATAGATTTCAAGACTTCTCTTTTCGCATTTTATCCTAGTTATTTCGTAGATTTTTTTGTTTCCCACCTAAGATGAATAAACATTTCTTTTTCTCATATCTTGCTGTCTTCTTTCTCATACCTATAATATACGCAAAGCCTAGCGCAAATATAATAACTTTAACACAAACGAAACCAGTACATGCCAGTGTGGAATTTAAGCATAGAAAATTGTAAAACTCATTAGATTTGACATCTCGCTCTCTATTGACTTTTAATTTCATATTGACACTAATATAAAGTTTGTTTTTTCTAATACAGACGAGGCTCGTTTAAACTTTTCGACAATCAATTAGATAGTGGAACACAAATAACAGGTTTCTGGAAAACCTGGAGAAAAAATGCATACGAATACGCATTCTTTTCGTACATACACGCGAATTGCTCATTCGTCGAAGAAGATACAATTTTCGAGACTGACGTAACTGACGCATTCACCGTTCAAAATTTAGATGAAGACAAAAGTCATCAATTATTTAAGCGGACAGATGTATCATGGCTATATAGAAAACCTGTTGAATCAGTTGTCGTTGCGTACGAGACTCGTATAGCGGTATGTTGTTGTCCAACAGCGATTTTTACTTTCTATCTTTTGTTTAGTGATTGATTTTTTGGTTGTTAGGCTTCAGGAGCAATCCGATATCAAAAGATAACATGCGCACCTGTAGTGCATAAACATGAACAGCCGAAATTATATAATTCTGAAAAATTCAAGTTCAAGGTTAAATAGTGTTTGGTGCACTAGAACTTATGATAGCATTCATCACAATCAAATCGAACTTATAGAATCTTGATAGAGTAAAAAAAAGAAGCAAAGATTCATTTTCGTCTCAACGATACTCTTTGAGAGAAATTCTGATAGATCTTATATATCCGGGGTGATTATCGTTATCGTTATGGTTATAGTGATTAGCGTTAGGAACCGTCAAATTTACAATTAATCCGTTGCTTAAATTCAAAAGGAGCAACATGTCAAATTGTGAAAACTGCTGTCTTGAACAATTCACGCAGCTTCCGTCTAAACTTGTATTGTTTGTGTCTCACATCAAGACGCAATTAAAAAATCGACATGTGCTTGACACAGTATGTACAAATTAAAAAATAAATACGTACTGTTATTATAAAATTCTAATTTCTTGCATAAAAATGGTTGGAATCAAGAGTGGCTGGAACGAAACTTGTTAAATTTATTGACAGCAACTCATAACTTGACCATCCAAAAAGGAAAAGCTTCGATGACAATTGTGTAAAGCAAGCTAGCTAATAAAAGAAGAAACTGTCCATTGTTACTCGTAAGCCTT